GGACCTTGCCACGAAAACGGCGGTCATTATGAGCAAATTATGAGCAAAGTTCTGCTATGCCATCACGGGCTCGAAATTCGCCACGCAGGGCGCAACATCTTCATTTCTTAAAGGTCTAGGTCCTTTACGTAGCGCTTTTCGACAATCAATTCATCGCACCACCTGCCTTTAATATAACAAAAGATCTTCTGCTTTTCGAGTATTATTCTTGTCTAGACTGGATTAGGAAAAAAGTTTTTTTATTATATGCAACTTAATCATTTGATTACAGTGGAGCGTTCAAATCAAATCAAGCTTGTGGATCTCCCGTCTGTACATTCCCGAGAGCGACATGCTGCGCTCCATACGTGAAGAAGATCGTGAACAAACAGTTCGTATGCGCGTAAAGAACGTGCCATTAGTGCATTCTTAGTTAATATTATATAAATGAATTCTTTCAATTCTGTCACTTCTCAACATATGCAAAACACCAAAGCAATCGAACAAATAAAGCAACGCTATAGCCTGTTTCTAATTACCGGATAGTGGGGTTCATTCGACAAGGAAGGAGAGTGACAAAGGAATCTGCTTCATAGACAGTGACCAAAAAATAGCAGTTCCACTGAAGTGGCCTGTCAGCTCCCACTATGCCCTGATGGATTCAGTTCAAAGCACAGGGAACATAACAGAACTTATTTCAACTGAGAACCCTTCAAAGGGAACGGTTCCGTCTATGGTTGAGGGCAGGGCCAACTGTGACAAGTGGCCGATTCAGCGATATGACCCTCCCCTCTACAAGCCCTCAGCTTTTTATGAGGTTGTGTCATCGATCAGAATGGTAATACTTGACACACTCCAACTTCGCAACAGCCTCCTCGGAACTTCAAAAAGAGCCAACTTTACTCGAAAGCGCAGTTCACGATGAAGAGGCAGCCCGTCAAAAATTACGGTAGCCGGTAGGCGATGCATGGTTGAAGAGAAAAACCAAGAAAAGCGGCCTAGAAGACGATAAATGGCTGTTCCCGCATAGGTGCGAGTCTCATAGGTGCTGCCCTCTTCGAAGCTGACGCTTTACTTTAACAGTTAGAGGATCAGACGGCGAGAAGGTGGGCGTGCCGAGGCATTAGCAGCGCGGGGACCGCCATGCTGGGTAGCCGTAGACATACCCTTCCCTGCTCATTGCGTGTCGGTCCCACCCGCACTTAAACGAGGGCGTCCTTCCCCACCAGCTAAGGTTTCCTTTCTTCTTCGACCTCGACTTCGTCGTAAACAAAAAAAATCACAAAAAAAAAAAAAAAAAAAAAAAAAAAAAAAAAAAAAAAAAAAAAAAAAAAAAAAAAAAAAAAAAAAAAAAAAAAAAAAAAAAAAAAAAAAAAAAAAAAAAAAAAAAAAAAAAAAAAAAAAAAAAAAAAAAAAAAAAAAAAAAAAAAAAAAAAAAAAAAAAAAAAAAAAAAAAAAAAAAAAAAAAATTGGCCCGACTGGTTCCTTAGCGGAGGATAACTCCGCCGTCCCGAAAGCTCAAGTGGAAGAAAAGTCCGAAGCCCATCTAGAATCCCATTCAACTGCGCCATTTGCTGCGCACGAAGAAGAAAAACATGACGGTGCCATGATCCAGATGGGTTTCTTTTTGTTATACTAATACAACTTTTCCACTTTCTTGGTCCGGACAGTCTTGGCCCCATAGAGGAATAATCGCGGCGCATTTGATAGCCCTGGCCGCTAGTGGGTGCCGAAATCGTCAGGACCGCTTGCTTCACTTGAATTTCGGTGTGAGTTCTGTTTTATTTGTGTATGATAGGCGAATATGCGCATTGTTTTCGGCATGGACTGCGTAATACGCTCTTTTCTGCTCTTCAGAAAAGACAAATTTTGATTTGGGAGGCGATATGAGTACCAGCGTCAACCGTCCGTTCGCAATATCCGAACGAGGGGGCACATTTGCAATTTTGGAGGGAGAGGGGTCGGGATTGGGGTTTAGAATGGTTAATAATGTTCACGAAAATTTACGAACATGGGGGGGGTCGTGTCTTTTTTCGGTATTTTTGATGGGGAATCGGGAGATTCGTGATGGAGGAAAAAAAAAAGGAAATATGGAAATTGCTGCTTCAGAAATACTTAAGAACGTATTTGCCCCCCACCCTCTCCGTTCCAAAGGCCGTTCTTGGAGGGAAAAGTGAGCAGAGTTTGGCTGTATCTGTCGACTCTAAAGGGGGGGGGGGGGCATACGTTTGAAAAGTTGCGAAACGCGCGACCGGGTTGACCCTGGATGGTACCCGTTGTTTTTTTATTCCACCCCTGTAGATGATGACCGAGCTAAGCGGAGAAAGCAAGAGATTTTTCGGTTGAGAGAAATGAAGAAAACGACATAGCAATATAAAAAAAAGGACAAAGGAAAGGGAAAACAATCAAATGTATAAGAAAGAATGGCGTCTGAGGCGTTGGGAATAACCAGTTCTGGAAAGTCATTGGCGACTTTAAACTGGGTTATTGGCGGCGATATATTGCTAAAAACCTTTAGTTAGCGCATAAAATACTTTAACCAGCACAGATAAAGTAACATCTATAGAGCAATAGTCTTGTGAGTTTTTTTAAAAACAAGACTTAATAGCAATATCCCGCTTTTTAATGAGATTCTGCCTCTACTACCAAAAAACAACTTGACGATTTTGACAATTTTTACCCCATATGGAAATTTTACAATATAAAAGCTAAAAACCGAGTAAATTCATTGAAATCTCTCGATCGCGCCGCGTTACGATTTCATGCAAACTGGTAATACAACGGTGTTTTAAAGTGGGTTTCCATGGCAGCGATTTGCTATGAAAAACGTTCATAGACGGCTTTTGGCCATTGGCCCAGCTTTTCAGTACTCGGTAGTCGGGCCGATGCTGGTAGGTTGCTTCCCTTACCTTCCACTCGCAACAAACTTGTCGGCAACAGGGTTGATTCTCACTTTCTTTCGCATGGCCCTCGGTGGTTCACTGCAAGCCCACTTTATTGCCTTAACTTACTAGTGGTTGCTGGCGTCCTTGTATTAGGGTCTACTTTTAGGGTTTTCATTTGTTATTATGGCGTCTCGTTGAAGGTGGTTCTTCTAGACACCTATTCCTACTGAAACAAATATGCGAGTCTGCGGGTCGATTCCAGTTAGGGGAGGATCATGATGCTGTTTTTCTCGGTGAACTCGAACATTCCAGCTTTTCACGCATGTCAAGTGACTGCCCTCACCCCCACCCCCTAGACTGGCTACACTCCCCTGGCTCGGAGTTACCCTAGCTTTCTGGGAAAAACTGCATCATGATGCCCCCTCCTAACTGGAATAGACCCCCATGTGAGTTCTATTTTTGGTTCGTAATACGCGGGCGATGGCTCCGTCATGGCTGTTCTGTATTCTGGGCGCAGTGTGTCTTCGAGATGGGGGAGGGTGGGGAGGGGGGGGGGGGGTGCTGTAGGAAGGCCTTCAGGGCCAAGCCCTCCCTCTTCTCTTCCTTGGCTTGGTTCTAGAACGATCGTTTCCATGGATCTGAAGCGATGTTGGGCCGATGTCAGAGTTTGCGATTCGCCAGCTAATTCACCTTCGTCTAGGCCCGAGTGTTTGAAATTGGCGGGACTCTGGACTCGCCACTTTCAAACACTGTCAGCTTACTGGTACATCACGCTGGTGCATGCGATTCGCTCGTATCCAGTGAATCGCAAAGTCTGACATTGGCCTAACGCGCTAGCCTTCCCGGAGTCACATTGCGCCCAATGCTGCTTGGTCGTCTTTCGAAGTGCGTTTCAAATAAAACAGTTTCAGCGTGTGCTGTCTCTGCAACACTCCGAGTATACTCAGTCATCATGTCGGGATGGGAAGCATATGTCAGCTCCTTCATCTCAATCTCGCCTGCAGTGAAGAGAGCAGCGATAATCACTTTTGAGGCCGGTATCTGGGCCAAAACAGGAGGGCCAAGGGAGTTCAAGGTTTGTGCCGCTTATTAGAACCAAATTGCAAGCTATGTGGCAGTAATGCCGCCTTCAATTCGCGGCTTCGGAGATTAGGATAAAAGGAGATAGGATATAGGTAGAGTAAGAGGCACCCATGTCGTTGGGGGGGGCATTCAATTAAGTGAGCAAGCCACTCATAGTACTTGGGAGAAAGCTTCAGGAATTGAAAGGGTTCTACAAGAACGATTTATCAGTGTGGCGAATTGGTTCCACCGTAACCCATGTGGCACTGGAGCGCGCTTTAAGAGAATATGACAAGGGGTTACGTCGAACAGGCGATAACATGTGACACTGCGCGCCCAACCGCGGTTACGGTGGAACCAATTCGACGTACATAGGAATCGTTCTACTAGGATTCAGGGGGAAGGTGTGAGCAAACTGTTTCTCCCTGGCGTTTCTCCCTCCTGTGTTTAGTCCTAGGGTCACCTACCATCGACCCTGTTTTGAATGCCCAGCCCTCTCAAGGGCATGAGCGCCCAGTAAAATTAGGATGTCAGGATCTTCTGCTAAAAAGATAACAATTAAGATACTAGGAAATCCGTAGATTGGGCGGCTTCAGTGCAGGTCGAATCAATACATATTTACCCGTTTCAGTGCAATCTCCCAATCTTACTACTCAGTCTCGGAATCTCTTCCGCGATTTCAATCGATAGGTATCTCCTACCATCCTACTCTACTGATGTCCTAATCTAACAATCAATACATGCTTTCTCATTTTCTCATTGTCGCCTGCTGTCCTAATCTCCAATTCCGTGAAGTATGAACGCGGCCTAATCGTTGGCTCCGAAAGCTCATATCCAATGTATTTTCAATTCAGGCAACCACGGCGGAGCTGAAAAAGTTGATCAGCGATTTCGATCACCCTGCCGAGGTTCTGGCGAACGGCGTCAATCTCGAAAACGTGGGTAGCATTTTTGAAGTCGAAGTTGGGTCCATCTAAATAAGGGGAAGGAGGGTAGAGTATCCAGACTTCAAAACCACAGACAAACATTTTCTTCCGTTGCGAGGGTTTAGGGTTTGAGGAAAGGGAGACTTCCCTTTTTGCACAAGCGAGACGGTCCGACCAACCCGGCGCCTCCCTTACCCACCCTCCCGCCGCCAAAATTGAGGTCGGTGCAAGCGGCAATTCTTATAGAACCCTGAATTCAGTACCATTCTAATACTTATCACAACCCCCGGCGCCTGCATTAGGAAAAAAGCCAGGAAAAAACCGAGAAAAAAAGTTTTGTTGAAAATTTGCCGTTAGGGGTATTTCAGCGCAGTTGTTACGAATATGGTATCCATTTTGGCATAGCGGTTTCTGTAACCTGTTTAAGGCTAATCTTGTTCCCAGATACGCTTTAAAAACGAATGCAATATTTGTAATCAGGACACTGAACTAACATGTAAGTTCACAGCGGATTTGGAAAAAAAAATAGATATTGCACCAAATTATCGCTAAAGCTGGCCAGAGTGCGCGATCCGTCGTGCGATTCGCGCGAATTGCGCGACGCATCGCAGACTCTGACACCAGCCTACGTTGCACCAAACGAGTCTAGCACCAAAATTCAATGCGAATTCTTTGAGGTTTTGGGTCTGGAGTTGTTGAGTAAAGCCGGAATTCCTCCAACCAATGTGTGAACATTGCTGTTTAACAACTTTCAAAACAATTATTTTTCCAGGTCCACTACATCATCCCTAGCGCTGATGAGAACCTAATCTTTGGCAAGAGAGGGAAGATGGGCTTCTTCGCCGCCAAGACTAAGACTGGTGAGTTTGGCGCTACTCGTCTATTTTCAGCACTGCTGTACCTAAATCGGGAACTCCAAGAGCACCACCGCTCGTGCTGTTGGTGATTGGGTGCGCTTGCTAGCAAGCAACACGAATGAGTTAATGTGTCACAAAATATACTGCAACAATCAGGCAGCATGAGATCCTGGAGAGTGTTACTCTTGAAGTTCCCAAGAGTTGTGCTAACCTCTAAAGTTTAACAATTCAGTCGTTATTATCATCATCTACGAAGGAGACTATGAAGAATCTTCCATTGTGCGCAAAGGTATCGAGAAAGTATCCAGCTACCTCGTCAGCATCGACTACTGAGCACCATCCCCTCCTAAGTGTACATAGTCCACGTAATAACTTCGTAGCGGCATATTAGTGGACACAATAAATTTTTTGTTTTCACTGAGGATTACACCAGAAATGTAGGCAAAAACAATTTTTAGAGCCAAGGGTCGAGATAACAGTGCTACTTTGCTGGAAATTAGACAAGAAGTGCGACGAGGAGGATGAGTGAGGAGAAAAAGCAAAAAGCACATAGAAAACACTGAAATTTCTTGTGAGGTCGGCCGTGGTATGACGGAGAGACACAGCGCTGCGAGGAGAGGGAAAACGCGAGAGAGTACGTCGTACGCGAGAGGGCGCAGACGCCACGTATGCCGCGATTGATAGAATGGCAGCCGGCAGCGTACAAGGCAAGGCCTTAGCGCCTTGCCGCGCACTTTTGAGGCGCGTTAACGTCGTGGCTGTTGGGCTTGGAGGACCACTTGTTCTCACTCTAACGAGAGATATGTACCTCTAGGTGCTTGATCCCGGACTCGTGGCTTTGAAGGAGATTTACTGGTTGCATTAGTACATTTATTGAAGGAACTTCAAGCATGACTGATCCTTGCGGGGACTAGCCGACAACACACTTTATGGTGATCCTTTTTTGACAACGTCACTAGTTACTACGTTTTCGACTGCTCCGCTCCCAAAGCTCCAGAAGTGCTTAATCCCGGCAGGGGGAGGGGGGGGGGTATAAATAAGCTGAAAAAACGGCAACTTAAATAATATTGTCGTCTCACACATGGCTATCCTCCTCTGTCCTCATGGTCTCGAAACATACTCTGCTACCCCCACAACGTCTCCAAAATCTTAATATGCCCCCACCCCTAGCCCTCATCATGGGATAAGAATGCCTTCTGAGGAATGCTCGGCTCTGCTCGCGCTAGGTGACAGTGGTTACCGTGGAGTACGTCACCCAATGTAACAGGAGATCAAGGCAGCAGTGGTCACTGAGTGGTTCAGGGATGAAGAAAAACCCAAGAAAAATGGCTCAGAACATAAGAAATGGGATTCCTTTCTACCCGTTGATTTGCGCTTTTGGAGAGTTCCATCGGTGCTGACCTCAAGGCCGATGTCAGACTTTGCGAATCGCGCGATTCGCTAGCGTCCGCGGTCGCGTTGCGGTACCAGCCAATTGAGTGATTCACTGGCCGCGACGCGACCGCAGACGCTAGCGAATCGCGCGATTCGCAAAGTCTGACATCGGCCTACGCTCTCTCTGCTAGAGCGGCTAGATTCAGACGGCGGGTTTGAGCAAAACTTGTGTGTCTATGTTTGGCGGCACAATGCTATGCACTATAAACGAAACTATGCTACTCCCAGAGACGTAGTCGCAAGGAATACAACATAAGTGAGGAAATAATGGAAAGCATAGCTATAGAAGTTTTTTTTGTGATGTGATGATGGTTCTGCATTAAAAATCATCCTGTACACGCGACTCCTTTCAAAGAGCTACGATTTTGGACTGAGGGCAGGTACATGGCGCGCACCACACCACAGTAAACAAAACCGTGTTATATCTCCGCATTCACTTCGTCCAGCGGGTGTGTTTGGAAACCCGCGCTATAGCAGGAACACTTCTCGGAGAGCTTGGAATTTTCCTCGAAATTTGAGCAACAGACTTTCTTCGTAACTTTGTAATTGTTGAAAAATTTTCTACATTTCAAGGGGATCGTCCACGGTAAAATCATGATTCTATCTCACCCAGAAATCACTTTCTTGAGACTTATCAATCAAACGAAACGAACGAAATAACAAACAAAAAAATGTTTGTTCTCGTCATGAGTTCGAAACCCGAAGCACTGTTACGTGTTCAAATTCCTGCCGTACATCTGTCACAAATGTTGGCGACGGGAACGATTCCACTTGGTTCTCGGAGTGCCTTCACAATAACTTTTTTTGCCTTTTCCACATGTGACAATAACATTTCTCTTTTCTATTGCGAACCATTCTATTGATCGTTTTTTCTCTTTCCTTGAACGCCACAACCGATTCTTCATGCGTCGCCTGATACGTGGCCGCCCCAAGACGCACTTCTTTCCATGCGTTCCCTTGTCTCCGCCCGACCTACCCTCGACCGTCCATAGAGTGTGGTTTTCGTAAGTTTTTCTCTTCGGAAACCGAACCCTTCTGCGTGAAACTGTATATTGTCTCTAGTGATCACAACTGACATACTCATGTTGGGAATTCAATGAGACGTCGAAAACCTTCCACCGTACCTTAGTATAAGACCCTTTCTACAGGTACTGAGAAAATCTAGACAAGAGCTAAATTTTGATTAGGACTTCATCCCCAAACTAACTAAACTAACTAAAACTAGCAAATATGTCCTCCGTTCCATAGGTCACTAGGGTCAATAACAGGATTAGTCGTCTGTCTATTGCATAAGTCAGGCACATATTGTAGTCGTGTTTTGCTTGTTTTTTTTTGGTAGAGCCGGCTTCAGCAAAGTGTGCTCATACTTCCGCTTGATGCCGCTATAGGTCAGAGGTGAGTCGTACGGCCTATGTTGAAGGACTTTAAACGACACTGTGTGGGATATGTGTCTGAAATCGGCTATGATTTCGGCTATGATCGACTTCCCTCAATAATGAGACGGCATTGGCAAAAAGAGCAATGTCGCGTAATATCAATGCAGGAGTTTAGAAATTGCTTGGCCCCAAAGAAAACCTGAGTGCTACAACCGTAAGGTCACTATAGACCCACTCTGGCATTGGGTTCTGTAACGCGACTTTTCAGACAACTTACAAGAAAACGCGAGCAGTCCTGACGACGTCCTGAAGTTGACGCGGAGCATAACTGCGTCCTACACCACTAAATTGTAGTAAAACAGAGGTTCCAATGTGTTTAAAACTTTTATGAAATCAATTCAATTCCAATTTGTTAATCACTTCACTACAGAGCATACAATTATTATCTACTGTGAGCAAAAGCTGCTGCACTTGATCAACATTAGGCCGGTGTCAGACTTTGCGAATCGCTAAATTCGCAAAGTCTGACACCGCCCTTTTGTTCCACACTCAGTAGAGTCAATCTTGACCTTACGCCAACTATGTACTATAACTAGCTAAACTAAGATGATTTAGCCTAATATGAACAAAAAACAAGAATAACAAGAAAAAAACGGTTAACAACATTTCGAGTCCTTACATATTCACCCGTAAACAATTATATGTCCCTGCCATCAAGCCTATAGCGCCAAACGTCAACGTTGTTGCCACCCACACAGCTGCCGATTTACCTACTAATGGCTTCAGGCACCATCCATGTTGTCTAAAACAATTATTTCAAATACTTGCTACAATTTTAAGAGACAATATTTCACCTGTAGGCCACGTATAACCCGAACGGCACGCCAGCTTTCATACCGAATTTCACCGAACGTGAAAAAGCATCGCGAAACTCCGGCATACAACTCCCGAGCTCATTTTGGGCATCAGCATACTCCTTGATTGTGTGATATTCTTTTCTCATTTCTGAAAAGGTAATTCAAATAGTCAGCCAGTTCCAAAAGAATTATGAGTGCAACACCATAGTAAAGGTAAGAAAGCATTTAAAAAATTTCACGATAAGGTCGGAGGTTGGAGAAGGAGAAATATTCCTGATCGAAACGCAGGTGAGCCCTCAGGGAATACGCTTCGCAGCGAAGGGTGTGCTCAAGCAGCGTAGTAGGACCGTACCCGCGCCGCTCGCGCCTTTGCATGCCCATCGATAGGCAACCCCCGCGTCTGACTCTAGCTCTTGTCAGGGGCCGTAAGGTATGCTTCCCCGAAGGGTTAGGGGACGAAAATTCCTTTAAATTTTCTCTGTCGTCCCAACTGGGATTGTCCTGATAAAGGGCCTACATTTAATATATGTGTTGCTTAGTT